AATGATTTTCTTGATATGTTGTTGGAGTCTATTAGGATTTTGTAGAAGAATTTTGCATCTATATTCATGAGGGATATTGGTCTGTAGTTTTCCTTTAGAGTGATGTCTTTGCCTGGTTTTGGTATCAAGGTTATGCTTGCTTCATAAAATGAGTTAGGAAGGATTCCATCCTTTTCTCTTTTGGAGTAGTTTGATCAGGAATGGTGTCATTTCTTCTCTGAATGTTTGGTAGAATTCTCTGATGAAACCGTCTGGGCCGGGACTTTTTTTTTGTTGGTAATTTTTTGTTGACCTGTTAAATTTCTTCTTTTGTTATGGATCTGTTCAACTTTTCCACATCAGTCTGTGTTAGGTTACGTAAGTGGTGTCTTTCTAGATATCTGTCCATTTCTTCCAGATTTTCAAATTTGTTGGAATACAGTTCTTCATAGTATCCTGATATTATCCTTTTTATTTCAGTTGGTTCTGTTGTGATGTCACTCATTTCATTTCTTATTCGTGTTATTTGTATTCTCTCTCTCTTTTTCCTTTGTTAAATTTGCCAGTGGTTTGTCAATTTTATTAATCTTTTTAAAAATCCAACTTCTGGTCTTGTTGATTTTTTCTATTGTCTTTCTATTTTCTGTTTCATTGATTTCTCCTCAATTCTTTATTATGTCGTTCCCTTCAGAGCTCAGGGCTCCAGGATTATTTTCTGTATCTATGTTAATTGGTTCCCCTTTTCTTTGTTGAAGAGGGTCTATGCAGTCTTTCTGCCTATTCCACCATCTTACCCGAATACTCAGTGACATTGTTTTTTAAAAATAATCTGAGGATATTTCCACTCTTCTTTAGGAACACTTATCACTGTTTTGTGCTTCACATTGAGCTTTGTTAAATTCTTGCTGTTTGGGATTTCATGAAATTGGAAAAGAGCTGGCTACCATTTTTTATAGTTGAAGACTTAAGATTTCCATTTTTCTTTTGTTTAATTCCTTGTGGGTAACGCATACTTAATTTCTCCTTTGTTCTTTTCCCATGTGTCTTTATTTTTAAATATAATTTCATCATAAAGCATATATATATTTTAATATTTTTTATAGAAAATTTTAATCATATACAAAGTGAAATAGCATAATGAATCCCCTTGTACCCACCATTCAATTTAAACAATTAACAATAGTCCACTATTTGTCTTGTGAAATAAAGAGTATTTCATTCAGAGTTTAATATTTTCTTATTTTCCCTTAGGTGGTGCTTTGCAAATTTCACTCAGTGTTTCTGTCTCAGAAAGGGCAGGTTTATACCTGTGGTCACGGTCCTGGAGGACGTTTAGGACATGGAGATCAACAGACATGCTTGGTAATTGAAATATTGTTACGCAATTTATTTAGCTTCTGTAAAACTTTCATAAACTGGATGCTTTGGTGAAAATTTTTTTTTTCACCAACGATAAGGAGAACAAAGAACCTATGGTGGCGTAGTGCCTAAGGCATTTGACTGCTAACCAGAAGGTTGGTGGTTCAAACCTACCAGCCAATCTGCAGAAGGAAGATGGGACCATCTACTTCCATAAAGATTTATTGCCTCGGGAACCCCAGTAGGGGGGTGTCTCTATGAGTCAGAATTGACTTGATGGCAGTGAGTTTGTTTTTTGTTTTTTTATAAGGAGAAAATAATACATTAATTGATAACAGGTTTTCTTTTTCCTTTATAAAATATACTTTCATGATATATTCATGTTAAGGATTTAGGTAACATGCAAAATCTAAAGCATCAAAGGAATATTATATTTGCACAAATACTGAATCAGAAGAATATATAAATAAGCTTTATAATATTTTCAGAATTGAATTAAAGAAGGCAAATTAATTGCAAAACGTTTCTTTTTTATTTTATTTTATTATTATTTTTTTATTTTTGCAGTATTTCTTCACCTCTCCTCCCACCCCTGGTAACAAACAAAGTTTGTGAAATGTTTCTTGAAGCAGTACAGATTTTAATTTGCTTTTAACTTCTCATTAAAGTATCTGTTTGGTAATTGAATCAATATTTTTTCATTGTAAAATCACAAAATTGATTTTTATGCTATGAAACTTAGTGCTAATTGGGAAAAGGTTAGTAATCATTACATACTAGAAAATTGGCTCATTAGGTTATTTTTAAATGTCATTTGTTGTTTTGAGGAAACTACTGCTTTACATCAGGAGATGTAATGGTAACAACTTTAATTTATTGAGGGCCCATTATTTCCAGGCACTGTTCATGCTTTTCATGCATTGTCATTACCTTGACTTAAGCTTCACAACAGCCCTTTGAGGTGTAGGCATTATTATGTTTATTTATACACGATGACATTAGTAACTCTTTGCCAGGGACTGTTAAAAATTTCCAACTTATTTATGCTCTACGCCAACCCTATGAAGTCTATTATAGTCTGAAATACTTCTCTTATTTTGTTTTGTAGATACAGAGAGATTTAAGAAATTTGATTCAGATAAAATAGCTAAAAAGTGACAAAACTAAGATTTGAACCAATGACAGTGGCTGAAAGAATCTTATGTTTGGTTACTCAGTAAAGGGATATATAGATTCTCATTGTTTTCTTTCCCTCCTAGTACACCAATGAATACTTTAACTGAAGAATTATGTTTATTTAACACCAAACAAATATGTATTTGGTATATGGTAAGGCCTCAGAAACCAGTTATTGAATTATTTTATTAAAATGTCTTACTTGAGTTGTATATTTTGGTTATAAACAAGTGTTCATATTCTTTTAAGCTCTGTCTATCCCTTGCTGAAATGTATAGTTTTCCTAAAATAGATACAGCCATATATATCAGTTATGTCATTTTGATATCGTCAGATTCTGTTTACATTCTTATATAAATGGTTGTTAATATTTTATGCTAAAGTTCATTTTAATTTGTAGGTCCCCAGGCTTGTGGAAGGACTGAGTGGTCACAGTTGTTCCCAGGTGGCAGCTGCTAAGGATCATACTGTTGTTTTAACTGAAGATGGATGTGTTTATACTTTTGGTCTAAATGTTTTTCATCAATTAGGGCTTACTCCACCACCTCCCAGTTGTAATATACCCAGACAGGTAAACTGCTGTTTTTTAAATGATAAGGCGACTATTGCTATAAAACTTGTATGGATGGAAAGACATTATGCTATTGACAAAGGAATGTATTTTACTTGTGCTATTTAATCTTTTGGTGATATATACATTATTTTTATTTTTCACAAAAGGAGAAGTTTAGTACAACAAATTCATACTATAAGAAAGAGAGGACTTGAGAAACTAAATGCTAAATACTCTGGATTCCACTTTTATGTATTTGTAAGTAGAGGTGGACTAGGTTTGAAACTGAACAACTTTGGGATCCTCCTTAAGAAAAATAATACAAAATTATGAAGAATGGCATCATACAGATGAAGAACCCTAAGCTTTATTGACTCACGATTTCAGTTTCTGCACAGAAGTCATACCAGCAAATTGATGTGTGGAGATGTACATCCAAAAGCCACCCACCATTCTTTGTTATACTTTCCCCCCTTTGATTTGTGTAACTCCACCAGATAGCACCCTTTCCCCAACTTCAGGGACCTAGTCAGTAAAACAGGACTGGTGGTCCAAAGTCGTGCTATAGCTCATAAGAATTTGTATTGTAGATGTTAAATTTCTTTAATCCTCTGGATTTATAATTCCATAGTACATAACAACAACAACAAATATTTTTTATTAATAAGTATTGAAATTCACTTTATTCTGGATAACCAATGAATCAATAAGAAGCCCTGGTGACAAAATGATTAAGCATTCAGCTGCTAACCAAAAAATTGATAGTTGAAACTCACTAGCCACTTTGTGGGAGAAAGATGTGGCAGCCTGTTGCTGTAAAGATTAGAACCTTGGAAACCCTATAGGGCAATTTATTCTGTTCTAGAGGGTTGCTGTGAGTCAGAATCGATTTGATGGCAATGAGTTTAATGAATTAATAGAAATTACCCTAAAATAATTTGAGTTAGTCTCTAACCTGTGGTGCTTCTTTGTAGAGCTGTTTTCTCCAGCCATCTAAGGAGTTTGTGAGCTTTTAAATGTTTTGTAGATTTCTTCAGGAATGACAAATAGACTTTGTTTTCAATTTTGCTTTCATGTGTGGCTGGCTACCTTGGCGCTCTGGGGAGATATACACATGTCGGTGGTTATCCATTGGGGGCACTTTTGTCCTCCAAAGGGCCATTGGGCAATGTGTGGAGATATATTTGGTTATCACAAATGGGGTGGGAGGTACTAACATTTAGTGGGTTGAGGCCAGTATAGCCTTCTACAAGAAAGAATTCACTCACTCACTGCTGTTGAGTTAATTTGACTCATAGCGACCCCTCCTTGGGTTTCCAAGGCAGTATCTCTACGCAAGTTGATTGCCCCGTCTTCCTTCCGAGGAGTGGTTGGTGGGTTTGAACTGCTAGCCTTCTGGTTATCAGTCAAATACCTTAGCCACTACGCTACCAGAGCTCCTACAAGAAAGAATTATCTGCACCCAAATGTTCAATAGTGCCACTTTTGAGAGACTTTAACAACAACAACAACAAAAAAGCAACCAAACTCACTGCCATAGATTCTGACTCATAGCAGCCCCCTTTGGGTTTCTGAGGTGGTAAATCTTTACAGAAGTAGATTGCCCAGTCTTCTGTCTGTGGAGTGGCTGATGGGTTTGAACTGCCAGTCTTCTGGTTAGCAGTCAAATGCCTTAGGCACTGTACTACCAGAGCTCTAGGCATGCCAAAATTAATATACTGTGTTTTCTGATAAGAATGAGAATACCTGTTTTGCATATTGCTTCTTAGAAAAAAATAGCAAAAAGTGTGATGATTTGGTTTTCATACTATGTCAATCTCCACATGTTGAAACTGCTGAATGAAAGTGGCTGCACTGAAATGTCCTGTGTCCCAGGAAAGACTCAGGTCTTAGTGTGAGTGTTGACATCTGTTAGTTACAACTGCCTTTAGCACCTGAAGAGGCACTGGCAGCAAGTATGCCATGTATCTGCTACCCTTATCTCCTCAGTCTCTGCAAAATTGTTCTAGATCATAGGTCATAGAGTAAACTGCAGTCTTCTTTATCTTTTTGAATAGATACAGGCAAAATACCTGAAAGGGAGAACAATAATAGGAGTAGCAACGGGTAGGTTTCATACCGTGCTGTGGACTAGAGAAGCTGTTTACACTATGGGACTGAATGGTGGACAACTAGGTAAGAAATCTTTGCTGACAGTATCTGAAAAATAAATGTAACTCTTAAATAGATGTATTTTGTGATTTGTTTGTGTAATTTTTTAGGTTATTTAGTTGATCCCAATGGAGAAAAGTGTGTAACTGCCCCTCGTCAAGTCTCAGCTCTTCATCATAAGGATATCAGTTTATCCTTGGTTGCTGCAAGTGATGGGGCCACAGTCTGTGTTACCACAAGGGGAGACATTTACTTACTTGCAGACTATCAGTGCAAGAAGATGGCTTCTAAGTATGTGTATATCTGTGAAAGAAACATGACTTTAGTATAAGTTCAACTTTCGTTCAGCAAATATCTGAGTATCATTTTTATGCTATGCTTTGTAAGTTGTCATGGAGCCTCTGGTGGTGATGTGGTTAAAGCATTGGGCTGCTAACCATAAGGTCAGTGGTTTGAACCCACCAGCTGCTCTGTGGGCAAAAGATGAGGCAATGGGCTTCTGGAAAGTTTTACAAACTTAGAAACCCCATGAGGCAGTTCTACTCTGCCCTACAGGGTTGCTATGGGTTGGAATCGACACAATGGCATTTTTTTTCCTGTTAATTGTCAAATGGCACAAATGAAATGGGAGGAGGGAATCAGAAATTTTTTATATTTGATAATTTTAGTTTTTGGAAAATATGCAGAAGATATGTTAAATTTCTTTATAAATGTTAAAACAGTATTACCTAATTATATTTACCATATGGATATACATGATCTGTATATTCTTTTTTTTTTTTTTTTTTTTCATGAATCAATGCCGCCCCCTGAAAGGGATGAACATCAACCAATTATTTTTGGTACAGAGACTCTGTATATTCTTTTTTTTTTTTTTTTTTTTCATGCTTCAGGTACACCCAGCTAGCTAAATAATAATTCTTGGTTTGTGACACTGTCATCATTGGTTTACGTGTAGCCATTTTTATGTTATACATTTATTTATTTATTTAAAGTAAATCAATACCACAAATTCTGTACTCAATCTAAGTATTTGTATCTACTTGGTATATTTTTCATCTTTGTGTAACTTATTATCAGAAAGCATGTTGAGAGTAGTATGTAATAGACTAACAGTTGATTGGTCAATCAGAAAGTCAATTAAAGCAGGGAATCATAAAGCTAAGATTTTAATTATGAATGGGTCCACCAATTGGAGTTCCCTGTCTTATATTCATAAATTAGTCTCATAATGTATTGCCTGTGATTTCATTTTGAATGATTTAAGGAGCAAGTGGCTAATAATGTAGGTGCAGAATCCTGTATTTTAAATAGATTTTCTTTTATAGTTGCTTCATTAATACCCAATTGAACAGCAGTTTTTGCTACTCTATTTCTTCATTCCAAAGTATTCAACTTATTTTTATAGAAAACATTCTTTACAGGCTAATATTTCATTGATTTAAATACTATTTATTTGAATTATATCATAATAGTAATAAATGCAAGTACAAAAATAGGTCTTTGAACAAATACAACTGATTTCCCAGAAGAGGATAGCTCAACTAGTGGAAGCAGTAGTGTGCAAGAATTCTAGAGAGTAGCCATGCAACTTTAAAAGTAATTCGAGATTTAAGTTAAAATTCAACAGAATAATGCTTTTGCTAATGCGAGTGAGATTATAACTTCATGAACAGATCTTATTCATGAAGTTAGTTTATGAGCAGAAAATGTCAACCATCAATTTGTTATAGTTTATCTCTTCTGTGTATTAGTTTGAGAATTATTTTTGATATCAGTTGTCACATTTAGAAATGTGAAACATGGAAATGTGAACATACATGTTTCCTACACCAGAGTAAATAGGTTTTTTCCTGAGCACGAAGTGATTTGTGAAATGTTGTTTTATTTGATTAACATTTATACAATTTGCCCTTGATAACATTAGATCACATAAATGTGTTATATCCACATTTTCATTAAGGAGGGGTTGATAATGAGTCGGGTCTGACTCGATAGCACATAACAACATAACAACAATATTATTAAGTTCCAATGTAGTAATTTAATAAAGAATTTTTTACTAGGTTTTTTTTTCATCCTTTAAACTTAAATATTAAAGTTGTTCATAGGGGTATTTTTCAGATGTGTAGATAAAATGAAATGTGGCTAGTGGGTAAGTCATTATATTAACAATAGTGATAACTTTTATGGTACCAAGCCAAAAACCAAACTCCCTGCCATTGAGTTGTTTCTGACTCATAGTGACCCTCCTTGGGTTTCCGAGGTGGTATCTCTATGGAAGTAGATTGCCCAGTCTTCCTTCTGAATAGTGACTGGTAGGTTTGAACTGCCAGCTTTCTGGCTAGCAGTCAAATGCCTTAGGTGGTATGCCACCAGAGCTCCCAACTTTTATGGTAGCTATATATATATATTTGCAGTTGGCTATATTTAATATTAAACATTTTAATTTTGAGGTTTAAAATTTTTCTTGTATGCTAAAATGCACATATACTCAGGAACTGTTAGCTATATAATTATTTAAAGCCTATGAATGTGTACATTAGCATAAAGGGCTTTTAGGTATTTAATGTGTGTATTTATGTGGGTTTGGGTGTTTGGGAGGGAAAGACTCGCTGTAGAAATAAATGGCAGTTGTATAAGAGAAAAGATGCAGAAAGAAGAAATTGAGAATGCCAAAAATCAAGTCTTATCTCATCTTTCACAATAATCAGCCATAGATTATTGATGAATGGTAATTGCTTTAAATTACTATTTATATATATTTTGGAAAACATTTTAATTTTGCTTTTTTCCTTCCATTCAGACAACTAAACTTGAAAAAGGTTCTTGTTTCTGGAGGACGTATGGAATACAAGGTTGATCCTGAACATTTGAAAGAAAATGGTGGTCAAAACATTTGCATTCTTGCAATGGATGGAGCTGGAAGGGTAAATATATGTTTATGTAAAAATGTAGTAATTTCATTCTCAGTTGATAGATGTAAGAAGCCTGATAATATAAAAATATATTCTTATATTAGTGAAAATTCCCATTGACTTTGTTTCTCTACTTATTTTTGTCATCTAGTACTAATTAGTATGGACCTGCTATTTGAAAGAAAGTGTGACGACATTTAACTAATGTTGTTCAGTATTCCTTTGTTAAGCAGTAGTTGAAAATTTCATTTCTTGTGCTTAAAAAGGAAATGAGATTTTAGTGAGTTATTTGACACATACACTGATCAGTAATACTGAATTGCATAGATAAGAGATAGTTCATGCAACTATGATTTATAAAAGTAAAAGCTAAGCAGGCACATTATAAATTTAGTTCATAGTTGCAAAAATTTATCCAGATTTAGATTTATGTAGATGTATACATAACACATGCAGAGATTTTAACTCTTAATCCCATCCATCTCACTGCCATCAAGTTGATTCTGACTCATAGTGACCCCCATTGGGTTTCCAAGGTAATAAATCTTTATGGAAGTAGATTGTACCATCCTCCTTCTGTGGAGAGACTGGTGGATTTGAACCACCAACCTTCTGGTTAGCAGCCAAATACCTTGGACACTGTGCCACCAGAGTTCCTTTACATTAGTAACTGAAAAAGTTGTACCCTGTGAATGGAAAAACACAGGTAACTTTCTGCTTTTTACCTATTAAATAATATATATTTATTTTATATATATAAATATATAATATTTTATATAAACAAATAAAGCATTTAATAGGTAAAAAGCAGGAAATCACCTGTGTTTTTCCAGTCACAAGATAAAATGTTTTCAGTGTTACTAATATACAATATATGTATCTGGGTTTCTTATTTATATATGTATAAAACAAACAGCAACACTAGTCTGTTAGTTTGTTGTAATGTGGTGGCTTGCATGTTACTGTGAAGTTGGAGGCTATCCTGCTGGTATTTCGAGTACCAGCAGAATCACCCAAGATGGACAGGTTTCTTCAGAGCTTCCCGACTAAGACAGACTGGCAAGAAGGAGAGGGCCATCTACTTCTGAAATAATTGACCAGTATAAACCTTATCACTAGTAGTGAAACACCCTCTGATATGTAACTGGAACACTTTATGAATAGCCCTGAAACATTGTGCCAGAAGATGACCCCTCAGGTTGGAAGCACTCAAAATATGGCTTGGGAAGAGTTGCCCCCTCTAAGTAGAAACCAAAAAAAAAAAGAAAAAAATCTCACTGCCATCAAGTCGATTTGACTCACAGCGACCCCTCCTTGGTTTCTGAGGCAGTATCTCTATGGAAGTAGAATGCCTAGTCTTCCTTCCAAGGAGTGGCTGGTGGGTTTGAACCGCCAGCCTTCTGGTTAGCAGTTAAATGCTTTAGGCACTATGCCACCAGAGCTCCCGCTCTAAGTAGAGTTGATCGTAATGATGTGGATGGAGTAAAGCTTTTGGGACCTTCATTTGCTGACAGGGCACAACTCAAAATGGAAAGAAATAGCTGCAAACATCCATTAATAATTGGAGCATGGAATGTACTAAGTATGAATCTAGGGAAGTTGTCAGAAATGAAATGGAACACATAAAGAGTGATATCCTAGGATTTAGTGGGCTGAAATGGACTGGTATTGGCCATTTTGAATCAGACAGTCGTAGTCTACTATGCCAGGGGTGAAAAATTAAAGAGGAATGTCATTGTATTCATCGTTAAAAAGAATGTTTCAGGATCCATCCTGAAGTATAATGCTGTCAGTGGTAGGATAATATCCATATACCTACAAGGAAGACCAGTTAATACTACAATTATTCATATTTATGACCAACCACTAAGGCCAAAGATGAAGAAACTGATGATTTCTACCAACTTCTGCAGTCTAAAATTGACCAAATTGATTATTACTGGTAACTGGAATGCAAAAGATGGAAATGAGGAATCATCAGTAGTTGGAAAATTTGGCCTTGGTGATAGAAATGACGCTAGATAACCTGATAGAATTTTGCAAGGCCAATGACTTATTCATTGCAAATAATTTTTTTCAACAACTTAAATGGCAGCTATTCAAGTGGACTTCACCAAATGGAATACGCAGAGGAATCAGGTCAACCACATCTGTGGAAAGAGATGATGGAGAAGCTCAGTATCTTTAGTCAGAACAAGACCAAGAGATGATTGTGGAATAGACCATCAATTGCTCATATGCAAGTTCAAGTTGAAGCTGAAGAAAATTTAAACAAGTCCACAGGAGCCAAACTATGAGCTTGATTATATCCCACCTGAATTTAGAGACCATCTGAAGAATAGATTTGACACATTGAATACCAGGGACTGAAAACCAGGTAAGTTTTGGGATGATATCAAGAACATCATATATTAAGAAAGCAAATGGTCATTCAAAAGATAGGAAAAGAAGAAAAGGCCAAAATGGATGTCAGAAGATACTCTGAAACTTGCTCTTGAATGGAGCGTAGCTAAAGTGAATTGAAGAAATGATGAGATAAAAGATCTAAACATATTATTTCAAAGGGCACCTCGAGAAGACAAAAAGTAAGTTATTATAATGAAGTGTGCAAAGACCTGGAGTTAGAAAAACAAAAGGATGAACACACACAGCATTTCTCAAGCTGAAAGAATGAAACAAAAAATTCAAGCCTCCAGTTGCAATATTGGAGGATTCCATGGACAAAATATTGAATGATGCGGAAAGAATCAAAAGAAGATGGAAGGAATACACAGAGTCACTGTATCAAAAAGAGTTGGTCGATGTTCAACTATTTCAGCAGATGGTAAATGATCAAGAACCAATGGTAGTGAAGGAAGAAGTCAAAGCTGCACTGAAGGAATTGGTGAAAAACAAGCCTGCAGGAATTAATAGGCTACCAACTGAGATGTTTTAACAAATGGATGCAGCTTTGAAGGTTCTTACTCATTTAGGGCAAGAAATTTGGAAGAGAGCTACCTGGCCAGCTGACTGGAAGAGATCAGTATTTGTGCCCATTCCAGAGAAAGGTGATTTAATGGAATGTAAAATTACTAAACAATATCATTAATATCACACACAAGTAAGATTTTGCTGAAGGTAATTCAGAAACAGTTGCAAGAGTATATTGACAGGGATCCTGGACAGAGTGGAACAACAATGTGGAACAAAGCTCAAAATCATTAAAAAAATAAAATAAGGGACCAGGTTTACTGGTCTGATAGAACCCCTGAGACTATGGCCCCAAGCTGCCATTGAATTGAACCCACTCCCATGGCTTCTAGCAAAACAAAAGACAGGCATATGAGCTGAACATTTGCATTAGGTAGATATACCCCTTGGAGAGATCAATCATGGGCAAGGGCTGTGTATGCACAAGGAGACAGCTTGGAGGGTAGATGTGCACAGGAGAGAAGAATGCAGGGAAGCAGTAACTATGGGGAGGAAGTGGGAGGGGAGCTATTGCAATGAGTCACAGTAAGACTCATTTTGTGGGAATTTAGTCAATGTCATGAGACAAAGTGTATGTGAACTGCTGTATGGAAAGTGAATTTGCTCTTTAAACTTTCACCCAAATCACAATAAAACTTAAAAAAAAAAAAAAAAAGTTTGTTGACACAGAACATCCAGAAATTCAGGCTGGATTCAGAAGAGGATGTGGAAAGAGGGATGTCATTGCTGATGTCAGATGGATCCTGGCTAAACCAAATACCATAAAGATGTTTACCTATGTTTCAATGACTATGCAAAAGCATTTACTGTGTAGATCATAACAAATTACGGGTAACACTGCAGAGAATGGGAATTCCAAAACACGTAATTATGCTCTTGAGGAACCTGTACATAGACTAAGAGGCTGTTGTTTCAACAGAACAAGGGGATACTATATGATTTAAAATCAGGAATGTTGTGTATCAGGGATGTATCCTTTCATCGTACTTATTCAATATGTATGCTGAATAAATAATCTGATAAGCTGCACTATATGAAGAAGTATGCATCATTAGTATTGGATGAAGACTCATGAACAACCTGTGATTTGCAGATAATACAACCTTGCTTGCTGAAAGTGAAAATGACTTGAAGCACTTACTGATGAAGATCAGAGACTACAGTCTTTAGTAGGATTATACCTCAACATAAAGAAAATGAAAATCTTTACAATGGGACAAATAAACCACATCATGATAAGTGCAGAAAAGGTTGAAATTGTCAGGGATTTCATTTTACTTTGATCTACAATCAGTGCCCATGGAAGCAACAGTGAGGAAATTAGATGTCGTATTGCATGGAGCATGTCTGCTGCAAAGACATATTTAGAGGGTCGAAGAGCAAAGATGTCACTTTGAGGATGAAGATGCACCTAACTCAAGCCATGGTGTTTTCAAATCACCTCAGATGTGTGTGAAAGTTGGGCAGTGAATAAGGAAGACTGAAGAAGTGTTGATGTCTTTGCATTATGGTGTTGGTGAAGGATACTGCAACTATCATGGACTGCCAGAAGAAAGAACAGATCTGTCCTGGAAGAAGTGTAGCCAGAGTGCTTCTGGGAAGCAAGAATGGCCAGACTTTACCTTACCTACTTTGGTCTCATTGTTAGAAGGGACCATTCCCTGGAGAAGGATATCCTGCTTTGTAAGGTAGAGGGTCAGTGAAGAAAGAGAAGACCCACGAAAAGATAGATTGACACAGTGGCTGTAATGATGGACTCAAGTGTGGCAAGGATTGCAAGGATGGCACACTACCAGACAGTGTTTTGTTCATTTTGTACATTGGGTCTCTGTGAGTTGGAGCTGACTTGATGTCACCTAACAGCAGCATTTAATAAAAACAATAGAAATGTTTTCTGAGCTTCATAAAGTCCTATAAATTTTATCATTTTGGAAACTGAAGAATTAGTAATAAAGCTCCACCTACAGATGATACATTTTAAGCAAAGTGTACTGCAGTTGACAATTGTAATATAACTAAGAACTAGGTTTAATGGTTAAGAATTATAATATGTACTGATTGAAGAAAACAAAGGCATGAGATTACATAAAAGAGTTGAGTATAAAAAACATAGGCTTTGTGATGTATTTTCACTTGCATTATTATGGATATAGCTTATACTGTGGTTATTTCCCACAAAATGAGTCTTACTATGAAAAACTAAACTCATAAGCAGTCAGTCAATTAAAGTCTTTAATGTATATAATTTTGAGTGACCTTGCCATTCTATGCCTTAGTTTTTTTAACTTGATCATGAAGGAATGAACTTTAAAAATGAGCAGCATTAATTTTTCAGATGAAATCTTAGCTGGAATACCAATATATAAAACAGATAAAAGAATTACTGTGCTGCATGAAGCCCCTCCCCTTATCTCTCATCCCTCTCTCTAGTCTTTAGTTATAATGCCTGTTACATTTCCCTGTAACACTGAAGTTCAGTAGAACAGTTTGGAAGCCATTGAATTCTGGCAGTTTTTCTGCTTCTAAGATGCTTAAGGAGCTCTGGTGGTGAGTGATTAAGCATTCAGCTGCTAACCAAAAGGTCCACAGTTCAAACCCACCAGCTGCTTTATGGGAAAAACATGAGGCAGTTTGCTTCCATAAAGATTTAAAGCTTTGGAAACCTTATGGGACAGTTCTGCTCTGTCCTATAGGGTTGCTATGAGTCAGAATTGACTTGATAGCAGTGGGTTTGATTTTTTTTTTTTTTTGGTTTAAGGTACTTAGTTATGTAATTATACTTTTTTTTTTTTAATGTAATGTAATTAACTTATGCAGTTTTTTTTTAACTTGTTGTTGTTGTTGTTGTTTGCTGTCGAGTCGGCCCCGACTCATAGCGACCCCTCTTTGGGTTTCCGAGGCAGTATCACTACGGAAGTAGGATTGCCCAACCTTCCTTCCGAGGAGTGGCTGGTGAGTTTGAACTGCCATCCTTCTGGTGAGCAGTCAAGTGCCTTAGGCACTATGCTACCAGAGCTCCTTTTTTTTAACTTATGCATCTCTTTTATTGAGAGTAAAGTTTGGCTTTTCATAGGTCATTTTCATTTCTTCCTGTGAATAGATGACACTACAACAGAGTTGGAGATGTAAGTTTTTACTTCAAGATTCTTGTATTTCTTCAGCATTGAAGTAGATCTATTTGCCCCAAATTAGTAATACTGAAAATTACCTCTTGAGAATGTTTTTCAAATAATTATTTATGTTTCATATTTGCTTAATGTTCTTTTCTGAAAAAAAGACTTTGACTTTTATAATACCTTCCTTTTTCTACAGAAGAGTGAACATTGAAACATACTAAGAGCTTTTATATTTTGAAGATACAGTTTTTATTTATTCAAATGCTGTATTGCTTTATATTCCTATATTACTTGCTTTTTTTATTTTAGGTGTTTTGTTGGAGATCTGTTAGCAGTTCTATGAAGCAGTGCCGATGGGCCTATCCACGCCAGGTCTACATTTCTGATATTGCTTTAAATAGAAATGAAATTCTATTTGTCACTCAAGATGGAGAAGGATTTAAAGGGAAGTGGTTTGAGGAGAAAAGAAAGAGCTCTGAAAAGAAAGGTCTGTTACTATGTGAATGGCATATAAATGTGTCTTTTAAGTGAGCTTTTAAATTGACGAGAATTAGGTTTAATTGAGAAGTATTATTAAGTTTTACCTTTATCTCTTTTCGTTTGATTTTGGTTGGTTTGTGTGCAGATAAACATAGGGAATTTAATTCACTTAAATCTGAGATTTTCAACATTTCATCTGTCTCAATACACCATAAGAATGTAGTCTATTCCCACCAGTAACTGTGCCTCCCTACTGCTAATTTCTAGTCATGGCTGTAGGGATAGGGAAGTGTGTAGTTTTAAAAAACAAAAATAAAAACTCCTGAATTGATTTCTAGCTTCCTCTCCTCTCTTTCACCAAGTTGATAATTGAGTGGCTTATACTCTTTTTTCATTTTGTTTTTTAAATACTTTCAAATGTAAAATTAATGCATTAGAGATATATCTCATGACTTAAAGGAAGAGCAGAGGAAGAAGAGAGTTATTTTGGTGACTGAATTGAAAAAGTATAAGTAGTGTTAAATAATTGCTGGATAATTGGAGACAAGTTTATTCATTCTTCGATGAATATAAAGGATAGCTTTATGCTGTTATTGAAAACAGAAGTTATTTATAATGTAGTTCATTCTTAATTATTTGAGTATAGAATTAAACTTACACAAATTAGCTTTAACATAGGTTAGTAACCTTTTTCTTCCATCCATAATTAATTGATTTTTCTTCCAGAATAACTAGAATTCATTTACTCCTTTATATCTCATAGTTCAAACGACATGGAAAAAGTAGGTTTTCTTATTTCTACTCTTGTCCCTTTTGATTTATTCTCAACCAGTTACCATCATGAGCTTTTATGATCTGATTCTAAGACTTCCATGTTTAAAAACTATGGCTTCCTCATTTCTTAAACATGACCTAGAAGGTCTCCCTGCTATGGCCCTTGTCTGTGTCTCTGAACTCATCTTGAATTCCCTCCCTCTCACTTACCACTCTTCGGT